GCGTTTTTCTAAAGTCTTAAAAAGCAGATCACTATCTGTGAAGATACCATGGGTCAGTATACTTGGCGATGTGACCTTCGCAAAAAATCTGATAGGTTAGATGGTTATGTCGGGACAGATCTGCAATTTTAGAATTAGGACCATTATTCTAGCGAAACAAATGCACTTAATGCCCACTAAGACTATAATATCACATTGGTAAGGCCAGATAAAGAACCTGCTAATTAACTTATTGATTGATCTTAACATATGTTAACCCGTTAGTTTACTATTCTGTTCACTAATTCTCACATGTATTGTCTAAATGAAGTGTTGATTTTATTCGAACTCAACAAACTGGCTCGATCGACCAAACTAACAAACCAACCAATATCATAGTCAGATATCATGGTTCTTTAACGAGTTTAAGCACTATTTAAGTGCTCCTGTGTAACAAATCTGCCAAAATATAAACGATGAGGCAATCCAAACGTACATCTACCTGTAAGTTATTCACTTAATATAAGTCAGACTCCATCGACCGTCGATTATAAATTAATCTTTCGGTTTCTCCATGAGCGATGCTCCACCACATACTATCCAAAACTAAAGTATTGTATAAGATAACTGACTCCCTATAATCACCACTACATTACTGCGGAAGTAACTCGGGCGTTTCATAATCACATCAAATTATTTTATACTGTATTCGTGAAATCTCATAGATACTTCCACACAAACTGGTCTTATATTATGCCACTCCCGTCAAGTCGTACTTGACAAGCTACGGAAAAATGTGTCGCAAACTAAATACAAAATGAACACGTCATTTAGACCTTTTAAAATTTTGATCTCATTAGTGTTAACGTCTTTTTGCCAACGTGTACTATCCGGTGCAACTCTTACTGTTTTTTCACACAGCAACCTATATTTCGACTTCAACATCGTGCATATGTCATGTTGGTTTCGTTTTCGAGCTATTTATGCGGAAGATATCTTAAAGTCCTCTAAAAGGTTTAAGGATCCCAACTGTAGACTTAGTACATACTTACTTACTTAATCATTTGCTTACGTCTGCTTCTCCTAATGGAGCATAGGCCCCCGACCAGCATTTTCCAACCCACTCTGTCCTGGGCCTTCTTTTCTAGTTCCATCCAATTCTTGTTCATTCATCTCACGTCTATCTCCGTTTACTGGCGTACTGTATTCTTCGGTCTTCCTCTCCTCCTTCAACCTACAGGATTCCAGGTGAGGGCTTGTCTTGTGACGCAGTTCGGTGGTTTCCTCAATGTGTGTCCTATCTACTTCCAGCGCTTTTTCTTGATTTCTTCTTCCATTGGAATCCGATCTGTTCTCTCCCACAGTAGATTGTTGTTGATATTTTCTGTCCAACCGATGCGAAGTATTTTGCGTAGACAACTGTGAATAAACACTTGTATCGTCTGGATGATGGCTTTCGTAGTTCTCCAAGTTCCTGCCCTGTACCGCTTTGAAGTTCTTTGTTGATTCAGTTTTCATTTTTTTCACGATAATAGAAACAATTATTAAAGAAACGCAAGCTTGAGTGAAATCGAGAATGTTGATAGTGTCTGGCCAATGAATCTGAAGTATTTTGCGTAGACAACTGTGAATAAACACTTGTGTCTTTCGTGGTTTTCCAGGTTTCCGCGCCATACAGTAGAACTGTCTTAACATTTGTATTGAAAATTCTGACTTTGGTGTTGGTTGCCAATTAAACTGTGTTTGAGATATTCTTCGGTTGCAAATATTCTGTTCTTGCTTTGCCGATGCGCGCCTTCACATCTGCGTCAGATCCACCGTGTTCATCGATGATGCTGTCCAAATATGTAAAGGTTTGTACATCTTCCAAAGCTTCTCCGTCAATTATGATTGGAATGGTGCATGCTGTGTTGTACCGGAGAATCTTGCTTTTCCCTCTGTGTATGTTGAGACCTACTACTGCTGAAACTGCTGCTACACTGGTCGTTTTCTCCTGCATTTGTTGTTGCGTTTGCGATAGAAGAGCCAGATCATCTGTGAAGTCTAGATCATCCAACTGTATCCTAGATGTCCACTGTATCCTGTGCTTTCCTTCAGATGTTGACGTATTCATGATCCAGTCGATCACAAGGAGAAAGAGAATGGGTGGGAGTAAGCAACCTTGCCTGACACCGGTCTTCACTTCAAAGGAGTTTGTAATTTCTTCACTAATATATCTAGATCCTTGAAGAAAAAACCAGCCGCCATTTCAAGATAGAAGATTCAATCAGACTTTAAGTTGGTTGCTGAAAATGAATTTCTCCCACGGAAATTTAAACTGAGAGAAATAGACACACAACAAACAATGGAATGCTCAGAAAAAACACATGGTCTCATAAAACACATTTCAGAACTAAATCAAGGAGTACACTTCAAAAGTACTTTTAATTGCTTTATGAGAAAATATTCATGGTTTTACAAGCGAACATGGCTTAATTAATATGAATCAATCAGGTTATTATAAGAAAGTATTTAGATAAAGACGCATTTAGTAGTGAAGTATGTTGACTAGAATTTGTATTTGACTAAACCTTTATTAAATGAAGAAATTCGTGACAACCACAGATTCCAAATCAAGGGAAACATAGGAAAAGATTGATGATTGAAACGTATTGTAGTTGGACGATACTTGGGCAAGTTTAAACTCATAAGGCTATTTTTCAGATGATTATTAACATTATAATGTATATCTTTATGGCATTTCTATATACTTATTGTAAGAGTACAGTGTATTGGTAGTATGACCAAATTGTACCACGTCTATAATTGCCCTGAAAATAGAACAAGGAAACCGTTCTTGTAGTAGTTTCTGAGGACCAGTTTTGTTAATATTGACTATACACAGACCAACATAGGGCGATATATTTACATAGACTAATTTAAGACAGTTAAGTGCATATCATTGCAGTCAAACTTAGTGGGTCACATTTTCAACATATTTTCAAGTACTAACCCGTATGTTAGTTTAGTCCTGTCACTTACTATGACTGAAAATATTTGAAATGACGTTGTAAACGACATTACACCCGATTGCCTAGTATTGATCATTTGATAGATTTTCTTTGACAATAATGTTCAAAATGATGTTCGAGACTTAACAGTTAGTATGCTTTTTGTGGAAGAATACTAGCTAATCGGTATGCACAAGCAACATCTGAAACGGTATGCTCAACGTAAGAAAAATCTCTCGTCGAAAGAAAGCTTTTTTTCTTGAATTCACACTGAGCCCATGGGTGTGGCTTAATTACATCGGTACAAATTTCTGTTTGGTGATTCTCCGTTAGTAAAATTGGAAGGATGGTAACTTATGTAGTTTCTAGACTTCTTCGAACATGAGGGAAAGATTGCTCATTTACAGTGTTTTAAGTGTTCTTGAAGATTATGTATGCGTCAAAATATGTCAAAGGTGGGTTTATCGAGAGTCTGCAGAGTGTTTTAGGGCTCTCTTTCACTACTCAGTGACCTAAAAATCGGAACATTCAAACTGAGACGTACGCCAAGTCAGAGAAACGTGTGTGACCTCAGTGTAAGTTCATGTGGAGGAGGCAGTCACACTAAGAGAGTAACTAATAGCATAAGTTTATTAATAGCGATTATAGTCATTAGCCTAGCAATAATTTTACAAGTCATGAAAACGTTGCTTATTTTCATGCTTTTCTGAAAACTTCAACTTAAGATGTGATGATTCTTGTTTCAAAATTTATGTTGAATAATCCTAGGTACTACAATGGGAATAGATCGATCGCTTTCCGGACAGAGACTTCAAGCACTATCATTGACCAATCGAAGGATACTGCATAATACTACGTCCACATGCAACTACTTACATCAATTACTCATCTGTTTCTTGAGAAACTTAAAACAAAAGTACGGCTCAGTCAATACACAATATAAATCTTCTTCATTCTACTTCTGGAGGAAGATGATAATCCATGAAGAGAACTGAGAGAAGGTAAAACTCTGAGAACATTTCATGGGCAAAAATTTATGAAGGTCATATTTTTAAATTAAGTCTCTCTTATCTAGACCATTTTGACAAACTTTAAACGTTAATCTACGAAGCGGCACACTTCAACACATTGTGACAAGTAGAAGTAGTAAACTTGGCTAACCAGACTAGTAATTTCTATAAGTTTCAATTACGCACCATGGTAGTGATGAACCAACAAATGCGTAAATGAAATAAGCGACAACAAATATAATTAATGATATGTTATTTCTGTAATTCTAACTAGTCTACTAACGTACACAAAGCATTAAACATCACATGAAGTCATCACACATATGTATTAAAGAGAGTAAATTCAGGTGGGTTCTGGGTCCACTGCACCTCGATGCAATATCTTATATGATATTATACTACTTTACGTATCGTAAGTGAACTGATGTGAAAAAGACTTGAATCATGACCTACCACCATTTCCACGACGCTAAAACAAATGATCCAATAGCTTAATTTTAGCTCCAACGATCTTCATGCTATAAATTATCTCTTCATTTTCTCAAACCATTATCAATGTGAAAACCACTATTATAGCACAACAATAGTCTATGAAAAATTTCCAGACCTCACCAGTGGTTCTTACGCTCATGAATCTAGATTAGCATCTACACAACTATTTAATAACATAGAGAAAAACTGGATTCAGGAACCTTACTCCCACTTGAAAGATAACAAAACTGACCATAATAAACAAACCATGATATATTTAACAGTTTTACAACGCAGTTAGGCGGATGAAAAAGTACTACTGTTTCACTGTTTTTTACCATAATGCTGTTTGGTATTGACTTATTGCAACAAGCGAATAAATATAAAAGCCGCAAGTGATAATATCTGAAAACAAATTTTGGAAGACAATTAAGTTATCTTTTGAAATGAAAAATCAATGACCTACTTTTGTGCTTCGATTGGTCTTTTGTTTCTCTTTACAGTCGTCATGACAGTTTAACGCACGGTTTTAAATTCTGGCGTATGTTGTTTATGATTGTTGCAGATTGTTACTTTAATTTAATTTAGGTGAATTGTATGCACTTGTTAAGTCATCGACTGCCATTTTTTGGTTTTTTGTTATACGTCTGTCCTCTCCCATGCTACTCTACATGCTACTCCTGTGCATAAAGTAACTTTTGGCCAGACACAAACCGGAACAACTCACAGGTCTTACAATCACAATGGCGGCAGTGGCCAGTCTAAAGCATATTTTTGGTTACCGAACCGGAATTTCTGGATCTGTCGTGTTTCTTGATGATCAGACCATTGTCTATCCATGTGGATCAAATTTAGTCCTATACAACCTCGAGCAAAAAACACAAAAATTTATTGCAGGTTTGGAAAAGTCTGAAGGAATGACAGCTCTTGCCATCAGTCCAAACAGAAGGTACATTGCTCTTTCTGAGAAAACTTCGGATAAGCCTGTTGTAACCATATATGATGTACATGCTCTACGCAAGAAAAAAACATTGCACACTCCTGATACTCATTCCAATGAATTTGTTAGTGTAGCTTTTTCCCCAGACTCAAAATATCTTGCAGTACAGAGTGGGAGTCCTGATTGGACTTTAACATACTGGTCCTGGGAGAAACCAAAACAACTCGCTAGTGTGAAGACGTCTACAACCAACCCCATCAAACAAGTTAGGTTAACATATTTAAATTATTTAGCTAATTAGATCTCTTTCAGCCCTCAAGATTGTACATTGATATGTGTTGTTGGCACTGATATCATCCGTTTGTATCGCTATGGGGAAAACAATCTCAAAACATATGGCATAAATAAGGTTGAACCTCGAAACTTCCTATGTCATACTTGGATTGATGGTGAGAAAATTGCCGCCGGAACTGATGACGGACGATGGATATTGGTAGAAAACGGGGAATCAAAATCGGAATATAACATCTCTGCTATGAATGAAAAAAGCGGAGCGAATCGGGAAAGGTATATATTAATTGTTTTTATATTTCTGACGTCTACTTTTATTTGCACTTTTAGTTGTTTGATATCCTGGGATCTTGTTACCGAATGTTTTTGAACTGTGGGCATATAAAACCCATATTTTCACTACGCCAACAGTTACCTGCCAATAGTATCTCTATTGATTTGATTTGATGTTGTTTTTGTAGAACGAGTGACAATTTTTCCAGTTTAGGACAACAAAGGACTTATAAGAATTACACCATAGATAAATAAACCTAAGCTTTCAAATATTTTACTTTTTCATACCCTACCCCATAAACGTTATACCTTATGAATTTGAAATGTGTGGTGATAAATAGGCACGTAAGCTTTCTAAAGCAAATTCATCATATAATTTCTAGCAAAACAGAAGTGATTTTGCTTAGCGACTGAATAGTTCTATGAAATACGACTATATAACGACCACTATTAAATGTTTGTAATGATTTCATGTTTTTCATTGATATTGTAGTTGGAACAAACTTAAAATAGGCTTTTAATCGCTTGTTATTATGAATAACCGCAAATAGTTTCTGAAGGTACTGATGAATTACGGTGTAAAAAAACTTCAAAAAGAATCGTAATAGAGGTGTTTAGACTTATTTTGTTTCAGAATCTCAACTAACTTCCATACCACCAACCTTTGGATGAACTAGTCTCAGTACTACTTCATTTATTTCCTGTCAAATATCAGCCATTAAAACACACTTACAAGATGAGAATTAAATAGTTCACAGGTCAATAATTAAGTAGATTGAAAGCAAATATGAGATTCTTTATTTTGGAAATTCAATCATATTGATGCAATAAAACCATAACTAAGAAACAAATATGTAGATAATGATGTGGTAGAAGTATGTGACTACAATTGTTTGAAGATGATAAAGACGTTTTTACAGTGACAATCACTAGCTTCATGTTTGATAATTCATTCATTCACCCATTTGCGACTAAACAACGTCTAAAAATTGGCTGTATAATGATTCTAGACAGCATTATTTTGAAATAAAGATCGACATAATGTCGCCAACTCATTTACAACTCCAGACCTCATCATTCTTGAATAATCTAGGTTTTTCCGTAATAAAAACCATCCAACTTTTATTGTTAATTTGAAGTGTATTACAAGGCTTCAGACACTCGTTATAGTAAATGAAGTACTGAAACTACAATCCTGTCACATAAAAGTGGTTGAAATAGACTGGTACTTTATAGATTAACATCTTGAAATTGTTATAAAGTATGTAGATCATCAACGTAAATGATCTCTATCGAATGATTGGGAGCCTACTGAAGTGAAACGAGAATGACGTGACCAACAGCTAAAGTTGAAGTCACACCTGGTGGTCAGCATCTAACGTTGTGCTGAGAATTCTATATTGTACCAAAATATAATTTTGAATAAAGCTATAAATAAATAATAAATAATCATAACAATCACCTTTTCGTCATATCAAGATACTATAGATGCTTTGAAGGCCGAACAAAAAAATACGTTGTTACAGAAACGTATTATTTAAAGTAGAAACAGGCAAAAGTGTGACTACTACCACATGAACTTGTCTTTTGGCGAACGATTGACTGATGCACGTTGGCTGTCTTTGACTTTCACAGGGATCGATAATCTGTTCGATATTCAGTGACGCGACTGCCAGATGATTTGGTCAGGAATCAGTGAAATTTCACTGGTCCCACATGCTTTATTATTTTTAATTTGAGTTATTATATGTTTTATCACATCATATTAGATGCTTGGTCTACAGTGAAATGATATGTTTATTCTTAGTGTCAATCATGGTCAAGTAACTCTGCTTTCTCATATTCATGCCTGCCAGCATTCAAACTATATTCTGCAAAATGCATGATTTTCTCACAAATTTAATTACTTCCAAATGTGGACGAATTATCTTCAAATAATGTCTTTCACTTACATTAAACTAATCTCTATTTGAGATTATTGAAATTATTCACCAAACTTGTTATAACGTGTGATCCGCCTATTGGAGAGCAGCCTATTATCGACCGAAACAGTGACGCACAAAATACGAGCGAGCAGCCTAGAGTCCTGATTGGTCCTGCTTCCCTGTCTAGCCCAGCCAATTGAGTCCAGAACACAAATCTCAGCCTCGGAGATATGAATCATTATATTTCAAACATACTCTGTTTATATAGCAATCAAACAGACTACATCGTACCATAAAATAGAAAGTAACATTTGTACAAGATTTAACCTTCAGGAAATGACACAAATAAATATTGACCAACAGGGAAATGACACGTTGGAAGAATGTTGACCAATGGGGCAGTGACACTATTTCTCATTCAGGAATAGCACTAGATAATTTCTGGGGTATTTTCTGAATACCCCAACAAAACTCTGACTGTTTAATCGACAGCATTATCGCATTAGTAAACAACTTAGTACTTGAATAGATTTTGGTGATAATTATCAGTACAGTTTATATTACAGCAAGATTATTCTGAATAATAATGCCTATATAATGTTTACACAGCTTTTTAAAAGGTATCTTTTATTAGCTTGATGAATACTAGAAATCTCAAGAATTATGATTTTACCAAGGCAAAAATTGGTTATAAAAGTTACGAATCGATAGACATAATATCGGTAAATATTCTTTACATCTATCCAGTTGCCTTAGTGAGTTAACACACACTGTTAGTTATCACAGGAGATAAACGTAAGGTTATTTGAAATGTTCGTATACTTGTATTATTATTATTACTTGAACAAAATATTGTCATGAATTCAGAAAGCACGGTTGGCTCCTGCCAACTTAAGTTACTTTTAGCGTGTGCAAGATATAAACTCGCTAACAAAAGGATAAGCTTACTACACAGTGGTTTACAACACTCTACTTAATGCCTGTGAGATATAGTCTTTAAAATTAGGGCAAACATATAGGTTAATAGCATTCCATTATAGTTGTTTTCGAAGCCTTGCAGTATATTTTGGGACTCCAGGGTTGTCAATTTTGACGTTATATGCAGAGTATTGGATAAACATGGTAAAATAACTTATGAGGTAGTAAATCTTTATCAACCGAGATGGTTAGGACAGGTATTATGTTTGGTCATCCATTGACTATCTCGACATGCAATGATCATTGGTGTAAAAATAGATTGGAGGGAAGCGTAGAGTGACCAAACTAAGACAGAAAATTACTCCATGAAGGCACTAGCTGTTAGACTGAGCCATATAAGCAGATGTAGACAACCTAGTTGTAGTTTGTACGATCATCGTAACCAATAACTAAAGATCTTAACATGATTCAAAATTATCCTCAGTACTGCAGACACATTCAGTCTTTGTCCTCCAATAGATGATAACTTTCTAAATTCCTCATATATTCTATCTATTTCACTAATTTATATTTTCCTTGAATTGTATGTTCTATACATAATCTTTTCTAGTATCATTAATACTATTACTTCCTTTACTACTCTGTGATTGGCCCCTGATATTTTTTTAACTTGCCTTACTAACTGATTATGTCAACTGGAACTCATATACACAAGTATCAGATTTCACCATTACACTTGATTGAATGAACAACAATTGTAGTGAATAAGAAAACGAGTGGGGACAATCAAATATATATGACACGATATTACAGAGCATCTCAATAAAATTTGAGAATCATATCAGTCAGTCAATCAGTTACAACGTAGGGACAGGCACATATGTGCATCGGTCTAAGTTGCCATACCTCACTCATTAGCACAATAAGATGAACACCAAATTCATAGAAGCAGTTAACTCAATGGTGTAATATACAAAAGAAAGATTGCATATAAGGATATAGTACAGGAAGAAAAAATTATTTCGTCGAAAGAAAGATATGAAACAATTATAGTCTCGTAGTTTAAGGGAAGACAAAGAGTGTATACACTGACGCCATTGTAATGGATGATGACTCATGTCACACACAATCTCAAACCATTGCTTGTGATAGTCACACGGACCCCAACTAAGTAGTCTGCATCTACCAACATGGCTCAGACTACAAGTTAATGACTTCAAGTGCCGATGCCATATTTTAGTTTGGCTGACCCTAATTTCCTTCTAACAATCCCTTTCATACCAACTTCATTCTGTTCCCATTCTTTCCTTCTCAATTGTCTACTGAAATATATTCTATGTCTGACTACCGTTATATACTACTTATATAAATATAAGTAACTCACACCATACTGTAATTCACATAAATCTATATTAGATTATAAATAGTGTTTGACATCATAGTTTGAATGTCGTGGTAATAGGTGTTCAGGTATACTCAACACGTGGTCCAACCATCTCAGTCGATGAAGATTCATAACCTTATCAACTGATTTACCATCATTCCCTAATACCCTGCGTTTAACCTCAATACTAATCACCCGGTGATCCCAGAAGATACCAGCAATATTTCTAAGACATCTGTACTTACGAGAATCATATAGTAAATAGTTAATTTGCCAAATATCAATCCATCGTCTGAAATTTAACTGTTCCTTTTGTAAATATCAATCCATTGTCTCAGAGTTCATTATTCCTACATTTTCATACCAACTTCATTCTGTTCCCATTCTTTCCTTCTCAATTGTCTACTGAAATATATTCTATGCCTGACTACCGTTATATACTACTTATATAAATATAAGTAACTCACACCATACTGTAATTCACATAAATCTATATTAGATTATAAATAGTGTTTGACATCATAGTTTGAAAACATTTTCTCTAATTGTTTTTTATTTTATTCGTTTCTTATTCAATCTCTTGACAACAAACAAACAAATCCTAAAAGATTTTTCTTATTTTTAAATTTATTAGCAAAGATAATATACAAACAAAAATGAGTATAACAGCATTAGCATCTACATCAAAAGGTTTATTTGTAGCTACTTCATCTGGTATTGTTTATTGGTTTGAACATATTACTACAGATAATTTACATCAACAATCACAGCAACATTATGTTAAACATGATAAACCTACCATCACCACGACGACGACGACCACCACCACCACCACAACAACAACAACAACAACGGGTACAACTAATCAATCAAAAGATGAATATCAATTAACAAGTAGTATCTATGTCCCTGAAGATTTAATAATCAATAAAGAATCTGATTTGTATATAAATCAAATGATTATACAATTACAAATTAATCCATCAGAAGATTTACTTATTATGGCAACAAATACACATCAATTATACCAATTTAATTTAAACAATATTGATACAAATATTAATAATAATACTACTACTAATAATAATAATAGTAGTAATAAGGAACACCATGTATCCAATGAAACATTAAGATTTATACCAGTATCTCAATCATTTCATAATGGACAAATAATTGGTATGGATGTATGTCTACGTAAACCATTAATAGCTACATGTTCAACCGATAGAACAGTAAGAATATGGAATTTTGAAACCAAGTATGTCACTCATTTTGTTCCTCTTCTCTTCTTCTTCTGCTTTTTCTTTCATTTATTGAAAGTATATTTGATGATAGTAGAATATATAGATGATCATTGAGGAATACTAAAATCATCTTGAATTATTTATATACTTATTAGAAACAAATGAGTACTATATATTTATCAGAAGGGGTTTTGTGGAGATTTTAATAATTTCATGGATTAGTTAAAGTTAAACAATAATACTATTAGATGCCTTAACAGTGGTTTAATGGTTAAGCGCTCGCGCGCGAGACTGATAAGTTCTAGGTTCGAATCTCGCTGGGGGGAAGCGTGGATGCGCATTGTTTAGGAGTCCAATACTAGGACGAAACGGCTATCCAGTGCTTCCAGGTTGTCTATGGTGGTTCAGTTTCAATATTAGTTAAAGGAATTAGAATTAAGATTCGCAATTAAATGTTAAGGTTAGAAATTAGATTCAAACTGATATCAGCTATAATGTTAAAATTCAAAACATTCAAAACCTTGAACGGTCTGAGATGAGGTGGTCATTCTGTATTTTAAATATTGTGGGCTTGTTGGGTTGCACAAATATCAGGTGTTCTGATATTTAAGTGGTCTTTTGCTGCAGCAAAATCACAAAATCATTGCTAAGAACATTGATTTAGTTCTTTCTGTCTTGTAGTGTACATGTTGGACCGGTTGTTGATTCGTAACTTTTCAATCTCCCTATTTCTGAGAAAATTTTGTCCTGTTTGGGTATATCTTGGTCGAGGGAGTCCTGTTCTGTTCGTCAGTTCAGTTGAAAACGTTTACAATTATAATGGATAGAACTGTTTATGACTATATATTAGTAGGTTATATAATATTCATAAATAGTTTAACACCTAATTGCTTCAACGTACATTTTATAAATAACTACCAACATCCATGTTCATCACCACCATAATTAGGGGAAGGATGAATCCTATGTAAAAGATTTTAGAGCTCAGTTTTGCATAAAACTCTGATTTCGGTCTATTAATGACTTGATAAACGGTAAATTTCACTTGCTTGAGTTTGCATTGTTACAAATAACCACATCAAGGTTAACTAAACATTCACTCAGTTTGTGGGTAACAAGTACGTCAAGCTACTAATAGACTGGAATAAAAGCTATGTGACAAGTAGAAACATCACGAAAATTGTCTTGTGACGGAAGAAATACTGTTAGTAGTTGATAAATAACGACACCCAAAACCCTCGACAACATGTAACATGTGCGCAAAAACCCATGACTTAACGTCCTAACCGTCCCGTATTTAAGTAAATGGGTGAATGGATCCTGTATCCTGTATCTTAAGTCTGATTGGTTCGTTCATAAATTATAGTCTCATCGTATGTTTATCAATTTGTTTCCTTATAGACTGATGAGATTGGATGAAATACGTCTGTGGATTTCGATTAATCTGACCGAGACTAAAGAGGTATCAGTCAGTCAGTCAGTCAGTGGACTGATGCCATGTTTTGGTTCGGTCACCCCTCTAACTTTCTTCAAAACATCCCCAACACCAGTTAGCATCACACGTCGTGGTAATCAGTGTATATTACTAACAAATTCAACCCATAAAAGAAATCAACTGTTTTCCCCAATCGTATGCCTACCCATCGTCTATCTCGACAAGCGATTTGTGCTGATGTTTGAATAGGTTAAAAGAAAATTAAGTGTACCCAAACTAAAACGTGTTATAACCCCACAAAGTCAGTGACAGTCAGTATGAGTCATGATGATGAATTCAGATTACCTGGTTAAGGTCAGCGAGATCAATTTTTGTAAACGTTAGGTGACATGATTCAAAATAAGTCACAATGGCTTAGACGCATCTGCACAGTGTCTTCCACCATATATCGAGTTTTAAAATAACTCATACCTTTTTTTCAGTTTATTTAGAGTCACATTCTCTTTAGCTTTGATACTACCCTTTCTAATTCTTGATATTCATCTTGATAATTTTGTCTCTTTGTGCTTATGTGGTATGATAAACTGAACAGATGCACATACGTGTTAGATTTCGTGCAAAGTCTGACCAACTGACACAATCGCTGTCCAGCTCAATTCACAGTAATAGCTGACTTAGTAATAAGTTGCAATACAATCAAGGACTGTTAAACTAAGACAAGGAATAAAGTCATCATTATAAGTATTAGTCGCGTCGAAATATGTAAATTTCTTGATTAGGACTTTGATATGTTAAGGGAATTGAAACTAGTCAAATGAAAAGGTTAGTCGATGGCAATCAGACATTCATTAGCTAAGAAATGGATCGATGTTCTAAGCGGTCAAGTTTTATATATGTATATATTTATCAGTAAGTATTTATGCATTCTATTCGGTAACCCACAATACTTTACCGTTCACTCTTATGTTCTCGTTCAAGTAGCCATTTAAGGAAGGGAGAGGTAGTGGTTGGCATGATGTATATTGTTTATTGATTTACGCAATAATCATTTGAATTGATCCTATTATATCCTATACTTTGAACAATCTTTTATTGAATCTATTTTATATTTAATTCTATAGTGATCTTGAATTGATAAAACAATTCGCTGAAGAAGTATTCAGTGTAGCACTTCATCCAACCGGTTTATTTATATTAGTTGGTTTCAGTGATAAATTACGTTTAATGAATATATTACTTGATGATTTAAGAATATTTCATGAATTTCCAATACGTAGTTGTCGTGAAGTAAGTGAAATTGTTTGTTTACAAAAATCTTCCACCACCACCACCACCCCGCTTTTTATTTTTTATGATATATTGTCTTGATAACTACTTAAATCAGGAAATAAGTAGACGTTGATGATTTGAACAATATAATATTGTTGCGTCACATATATACCTAGAGAAGGAGTTTTTATGGATATTATAGTAATTTAATAGTAGAATTCATAGGTCAATAGAAGCTAGATCACCATTGAAAAGCTGAAAGCACTGAACGGCTGTTTCGTCGTAGTATGGATACTCCTTAACAGTGTGCATCCACTATCGGATGCCGGCTTTGTGGTCTAGTGGTTAAGCACTCTCGTGTGACTGGTAGGTTCTGGTTTCATTTTCTGATATCTCCTATATAACGTTTTCAAAGTTATACTGATGTAAATCCCAAGGTGAGTTTCACTTATTTCGCTATCGATTAACTTTGTTTTCTATTTTCTATCATGAGCCTTCTTTTTTAGTTCCATCCAATTCTTGTTCATTTTTCTCATGTCTGTCTCCTTGTCTTTGCGTAATGTGTTCTTTGGTCTTCCTCTTTCCCTTTAGCCTTGAAGATTCCATGTGAGGACTTGCCTTGTGATTCAGTTGGGTGCTTTCCTCAATGTGTGTTTTATCCACTTCCAGCGTTTCTTCTTGATTTCTTCCTCTGCTAGAATCTGGTTTGTTCTCTCCCACAGTAGTTTGTTACTGATAGTGTCCGGCCAACGGATCTAAAGTATTTTGCGTAGACACTTATATCTTCACGATGATGGCCTTAGTATTCTCCAGGTTTCGCCCTCATACATTAGAACTGTCTTGACATTTGTATTGAAAATTCTGACTTAGGTGTTTATTGACAGTTGTTTTGAGTTCCAGATGTTCCTCAGTTGTAAATATTCTGCTCTTGCTCTACCGATCCATGCCCTCACATCTGCATTAGATCCACCGTGTTCATCGATGATGCTGCCCAAATATGTCAAGGTAAAGAGATGTAAAGAGTTAGAAACTCTTTTCTTGGCAACCGTATTATGAAAGGATTTTAGTGTTCACTGAATTTGCACAAGTGTTTTGATAAATTTATGTATGACAAGATTGTTTGGAGCATATACACTAGATTTTTCAGATCAACTCTTGACTTTTCAATGGTCTATCAAACTTCATAACAAGCAATGATTGCTTTTAAATACAAATAATTGTTCGGCAAATCTTTGTACACTTGCTAATGACTGATACTTATTTACATGGAAATATATAGGGAGTTGTATTGGAATGACCAAGTTATAGGTGAAGTATTGAGGTTATTCAAAGATATTGCAAACTTCTATTCATGAGGTGTCAAGACATTAAATACACCGTCAAAATCATATTCAAAGAAAGTAAACTATCTCATTGATTTTGAAATCATTAGGATATAACACGTGCTATAACTTAGGGAATGAAACACTTCTGTATCCGATAAGGATATCGGTAATTATCGAGAACAATTTAAGCCAAGATGGATAGTGGCTAGCAGTGAATTCCAAGTGGCGCGTTTCGTCCTATTTGGGACTTGTCAGTTGAATGCGCCTGTATCGCAGAGTTGCCGACATGAGACTGATCAATTGTAGTCTCAAATAACAAAGGGAAGCTACAAGTAAAACAAGACGTCGAGTAAGCATGATTGATTGAAAAGCTGTCCAAATAAGGGACAGACAATGAAGATAGTTGTGAAGAAATAAGAATATACAATGAGATGGGTAAAATATTAAAACAAAGAAATATCAGTGCAAATAACGAAACTAATTAGATCATCATAGCAATAACCATACAGTCACATATTTACTATTAAAATGATTAAATATTATCAAACTACTGAGTAGTGGTAAGTAGTGTGGCTGATCAAACAAAAAAAAAGATGATCGAAGAGAAAATAAAGTGAAAAACGGTTTTTATCAGAATGAGGATTTGTGCAGTTCGCAGGGATTTTTTTAGAGTTAAATCCATGAATCGATCTAAGCTAAACCACCATCGAAAACTTAGAAGTACTGAACAGTCGCTTTGTCCCAGGATGAGACTTGTCAGCATTACGTGTCCATAACCTATCACACAGCCCTTGAACCCAGAACCTTCAGTCTCACGTGTGGATGCCTAAAATCTAAATCACCAATTCGCCATCCAACGGTGTTAATGTCTAACTTCAATTGATTCATGATGTTGAGCAGCATTTCATCCATTTTCTTTGGTAGACAACTATCTTACACCCGACATGGATTGAACTCTACTGGTCACAACTTTTCTCAACATGTCATAACTCCCATTAGAGTCAACTTTTTTAAATATAGTGCTACATTTACAAATGTTTCAATGATAATGCATCTAACTTTTGCGCCAATAATTTTTTTTTTAAAAAAAAACAAAACAATCTATTAGTGTGCTTTCAGTAATGGTGGACATTTGATTGGTGCAGTTAATGGAAATGTTATACAAATATATTCAACGACAACATTTGATAATTTAATTAATTTAAAAGGTCACAATGGTAAAATACGTTCTATTATATGGTCAAATGATGATCATAAATTAATATCTTGTGGATTAGATGGTGCTGTTTATGAATGGGATACACAAAAAGGTTAGTAATTGATTGAAACAAATAAAATAATTAAGATAATATTTGTTATCCCTTGTAATTATTGATTGAACTTCAATTAAGGTATACTCATTATGGATGAGGTAAGTAGTACTAAAGTTGGTTACATTAATAACAGAATAACTGATACCAAAGATGGTTTGGAAATAGTTTTGATATGATGAAAAGAAAAGTCAATATTCGATTGATTTATTCAATATAAGTTTTATTCATCATTACATCCGTTTTGATTCAATAATGAACTCGCTTTATGGTTATTCATATACACGTCCAGCTTCTCAGATTTAAACCTTAACAAGTTCAACATTCAAGGGACACAAAGACAGATAGTACCTAACAAAATATAACGATATGGTATATGTTATATGCTTGCTATAGAATAAAGTAATCAATTAATGTTGGTGTCAATTATATGACATTAACATGTTATGCAGGGTTACAATCTCAGTACAAAATGGATACAATAAAAGTCACTATTTTTTTGCAACCTCATTAGGTTTGTTATATCCCGATAAGAATAATGAACGGTAACGTTTGGGATCCATTTATGGATCAATATTATACGTATATTTTTATCGTATAATTGTTAATTAACTAAACTATTTGCATATTCATGTCTCTCTTATTATGAGCTTCATTTTGACCTATGACATGTTATTATACGATTTACCATTCTTGAGTTATGCCCTGTCAATTTTTCACTGCCTCCCTCATTCACAGCCACATTTGGCCAAATCGTGTACAAATGTGTATTTTCTATTTTATGGTACGATGTGGTCTGTTTGATTTTTGTATAAACCCAGTATGTTTGAAATAAATGATTCATATCGTAGAGGCTGAGATTCGTGTTCTGGACTTAATTGGCTGGGCTAGACGGAAAGCAGGACCAAACAGGACTCTAGACTGTTCGTATGTGTTTTATGCGTCATCGGCCCGATCGATAATTCACTGTTCTCTAATTGGCGGTATCATTACGTTATACATTAACAGGGCACACATGTCCCAAGTTATAACAAGGTTAATATGATGGTGACTTGAGCCAACGCAACAGATCTATTATAGGCATATAATCATAAATGCTTTGTTTATTACCCTATATTTGATTGTAATGAAAGTTTCTTTTTTGGCATACAATAGGTTTCCATTTTATATTCATTTATTAATATATAAATACTCAAAGTGACTGATGAATCCATTTGAAGAGTGTGACATAACAATTAAGTAGAATGGGTTTTGTGGAGAATTGGTAATTTCAATAGTTGAAATCATGAATCCATTGAAGCTAGACCACCATGGAAAACCTGGAAGCACTGGACGGCCATTTCGTCCTAGTATGGGACTCCTCAGCAGTGTGCCCGCGGGATTCGAACCCTGGACCTATCAGTCTCGCGCCAGGCGCTTAACCAACTAGACCATTGAGCCGGCATCCAACAATTAAGTGATACACAAAAGTCCTGTAATCATAATAATGAAATTAATCTATGACACGATATTATTATTTATAAGAATATAAACAATACATCTATAGATCACAATTTCAACTGAAGTCATGGGGGGCGCGGCTTATGCTCTTCCTCTAGGGGTAACAAGTGTAAGTAAGTAAGTGTTTAGAAACCACAATTTATAGGATGTCTAAAGCGTTTACCATGCATGAATTACTTACAAAAATGTATGATTAACAGTTGTTAAGAAGGATAATGGAGAAGATTTGTACTTTAGGTGAAATTGAATTGTGTAAAACATCGTCAGAACAAATTTCAGTGAGAAATGAACAAACAATTTATCCTGTTGATCTTGATTTTGATTGGTTATTGTCGACCTTTAAGATATCATTGTTTGCATATTTAATTTGATTATTTCTTCCATTAACTTGATCTTTGTTGTTTTGTGACCTGTTAAGAAATCGGATCTATTTCTATGTAGTTCTTGAAGCAAATCTATAACTCAGTTGATTAGTTCGATTTATTTGTTAAAATAGTTGATCAGTTGACCTCGTAAATTGCATATATACTTACTTACTTACTTACGCCTGTTACTCCTAATGGAGCATCTGCCGATAACCAGCATTTGCCAACCCACTCTGTCCTGGACCTTCTTTTCTAGTTCTATCCAATTCTTATTCATTTTTCCCATATCTGTCTCCATTTTTCGACGTAATGTGGTCTTTGGTCTTCCACTTCTCCTTTGGCCTTGAGGATTCCATATGAGGGCATGTCTTGTGACACAGTTGGATGCTTTCCTCAATATTTGTCCTATCCATTTCCAGTGCTTCTTCCTGGTTTCTTCCTCCACTGAGATCTGGTTTGTTCAATGTAATTAAATTTACCTGTTGACCAGATTTATGTGCATTCTTATTTGGTTCGTCTCGTTGAATAGTAAGTAGTCTTTGTTTGGTTATAACAGATAGCTACACTAGTGTTTTTATTAATTTTTAACAATAATATTAACTACTAAATATTAGTAAGTAATATAATTAATATACAGTAAAGAATTAAATTAGAAGGGAAACTTTTTCAACAACAATAGTTAACTGTCATTCATTCTCATCGATAAAGATTGTAAATCAGTTTCGTTTTGATTGTTATTCATCATATAATAAAACCGGACCATGAGTTCTTATGTATTCGTTTGATTTTTTTTCTATCAAAGTGTTATAACTTGTGATTTTGTGCCCCTATTAATATATATAACGTAATGATAGCGCCAATTTGACAACAGTGGCTTATCGATCAGACCAATGGAGAATAAAATCCGTACGAGCAGTTAAGAGTGCTTATCTTTTCTCCTCTCTGCATAGCCGTGCTTGTTAGGGTCCAGAATATCGATCTCAGACTCCGTGATATGAATCATGTTTTTCAAACATACTAAGTTGATATACCATCCAAACAGACCATATCGTACCATAAAATAGAAGATAACACTTGTTCAAGATCTAGCGAAAAGTGGCTGTCTATGTGGGAGACTGTAATTAATTATATAAATAGTCAGTTGCTTTGCAATACTTATACAATAGAGAAGTAAACAATACAAAGATTAAAGTCGGATACAGCTTGCCCTTCATTGCCTCCAAATGACCTGGTAAGGCCGAGAGTAGGGAGAGTCAGCTCTTCCTCTCGAAATGCTTTCACATGGTCACATGCATACAATCACTTCTACGGAAGTCCAACTCACTGTCTTCTTGTGGTGAGGATGTTGTTTATGGGATTGAGTGGATAAAAAGTGAGTGTCCGACGCTTTAACCGGGTTGGCAGATATGAAGGTTCCACCTAAGGCAGTTGTAAAACTCTGATTTCAAATCAATGGTACACATGAACTTCAGAATCTTATGGGAACAAATGGTGTATGAACAAATAATTGATCACCGGCTACCATGAGAATGCATCTCCTTACGTTGCTCCACCACCTTGTGGATCATACCTTTAAGTGAGACGCTCAACGGGTGGCTGGCTCCCTAAGAAAATCACCTGCTTTGATTTAGGCGTTCGAATAGTATTCCAACCCTCACACAAATCGAACGATTTATGTGGTGCATATCTATTTTGGTGCCTCCTTGTACCAATGTTTATATGTTTAAATAAAATATAATAAAACAGTAAATAAATCAATAACCAGAGGTGAAGGCAAATCAAACTCATTAGATTGCTAATCGTTATTGATTTAAGCCTATTGTAACACATTAAGATTAGGGTATTAATGTTAGATATTTTCTTCAGTTATCTATATATTGGTACGAGCATTCAATGAAACTAGATTATGTCATTTCTTTTTCAGTCAGGTAAATAGTGACCTAACACAATAAGAATATGTTAATAGTTGAATTCATGAGTCGTTCTAGGCTAGACTATCATTAAAAACCTATTTAATCTTCTAGGTTTTCAATGGTGGTCTAGCTTAGATTGATTCATGAATTCCCTTATTAGAATTATTACAATCCACACAAATTTCTATTTTGAAAATAAGGATTCGATCTTCCCTAAGAAGAACCAGCCTGAGACACATAACATTGATTACCATTCAGTGATCAATCAATTGTACATATATTTCAGTCCTACAGGAGGTCAATTGCGGCCCGAATAGCCAGATGGTAGCGTATCTGTTTGTGAAACCGGTTGAAACGCAATGGAATCTTTCAGGTAGTATTAAGGTTCAAACTACTTACTGTTTTAGAGAAAACATTGTCAAATTGACAAACTACCATTTATTTAGCATTGACAGTGTGTGTTATCTAATCCTAAGTTTTAATCGGATTGTATGTGCTAAGTTCCAATACGGTAGTTAGTCTAAGGAACTCAATAGTGCATACACTGTGCTTTGACTTTATATACCTGAAAGGAATCTACAAAACATCAATCTCAAGAATATTTAGGATACCCGTTGTCGGTAAGTTTAAACTAACACGAAACCTTCGTCTAAGGTTTTCTACTGATTGTTAGGTTAAAATATAAATGAATAAACCATCAAATACCATAAACACTGGTTATTAATCTATTTATAATCTGAATCCTAACAACAGTATACATCCATGACAACTGTCTGTTTTGAATTTCGTCTACGCTCACTAACTAAGAGTCCGTTATAGATTATACTGAATATGCCAATTATTGTTTATCTACGGAAATTTACACTTTCTTAGACTACCTTTCAGAACACTAGAATATATACACAAGTACCTTGTATAGTTTTGGACCTAAAGCTTAACATCATAACGTATCATAAATAATAAATTCCAATCAGTACACAACTAGAACATTCATAATATAAAAGTGAGTAACAGGTTTACAGATAATGAACGAAAGATATAATGAATATCAGGTCAATTAGATGCTTACAGACGGCCCAATCAGTAATAGATAAGATTATGAATACACGGACCCATGGAATAGCTTTATTTTGCAAGGAATCAGACTTGAACAACTAGAAAGCTTAATCTTCTAAGGGATATATAAACAAGTTCACAACTGTTTCTTGATTCGGTTAGCCAACAAACATTTTTCTTCACCCAGCCTTTATTCTCGACTACCTGGATTTGTTTGTATAGAAAGAGTGCATATCAGTATGATCTCTCGGAGATCACACATTACATGAGCAAAAATTTCAATAAATCAGCTGTTTAACAAGTAGATTATATATAAATAGATTCCTTGAGAAATAGTCTCCAAAGTTTTGAACTGTTTTCCTTCACCCACAATCTAGCAATGCCTTTACTTACACCATGATATTTCTATATAAAGTGATCATGGTCATTATCTATCACATCAACCTTCAATATCTATTACATTTACGCATACTTCATTATTGATTATAACAAGCCAATTTGAATAAAGATGGATAGTGGCTAGCAATAGAATTCAAGACATGTGTTTCGTCCGATTTTGGATTCGTCAGCTGGGTTTACTTGAATCCCAGTATTGATTTACACACAGCAATGGAAAGATACAAATCAACAACACCAAGTGAATTCAAGTTGAATAAACTTGATAATTCGATTATCAAATTAATTATTCTGATTAAGATTCTTGAAAGTGTTTATATTTCCCTCTTCATTTATAGGTACACGAATGAATGAAAATGTATTGAAATCTTGTAGTTATACAAGTGTAACTGTTTCTCAAGATACTAAAACTGTTTATGCTGTTGGTTCAGATAAAACATTAAAAGAAATAAGTGATTCACAAGTAAGATATTTATATGTGAATAAATAAACGTTTTAATTACGAATATGACAATTAGTGAGTCAATGATCTTCAGTGCTGTTAGAGGTATGAGGGTAGTTATCACTTCCCAGTTGCCCAAACTTTGAGAGAGTTGTTCTAGAGGTATCTGAATGGGAAATTGGTCAAGTGTTGGTCTTATTGACCTGAGAGTGTGACCACAGTGTCCAAGAGACTACAGCTTGAGGTGGGTCACACACGACCTTTTTTGAGTAGTTTCCATGTTAACTCCGTAATTGTCGGGACCTTACCGCTTGAGACGGAAATCTGTGGAATAAGGCAAGATGTACATTTTTAGGATCGACTTTTTCTAACCCAAGCCCTCCTTGTGGAAAGGCAGTATCGCGTTATGCTGGTTGTCTGAAGGAAATACCTTATTGTTTTCATACCTCTGTATAGTCAGCAGTGCGACTTCGCCTTCGGATAAGATGTCATTTTAAACGAAGTTGTAAGGCTTTCAACAATATCATTGATTGCTCATCTAATCTGTGTTGATAGATGTAGATTATCAGGTTGAGATTTGTTCAACCATACTGACAAATGGTTAGAGATCTTAAATAACATGGTTCAGATTTAATCACAATATGGTAAGTGCACTTAATTGTTGGGGTATTCAGAAAATACCCCAGAAATTATCTAGTGCTATTCCTGAATGAGAAATAGTGTCACTGCCCCATTGGTCAACATTCTTCCAACGTGTCATCTCCTTATTGGTCAATATTTATTTGTGTCATTTCCTGAAGGTTAAATCTTGTACGAATGTTACTTTCTATTTTATGGTACGATGTAGTCTGTTTGATTGCTATATAAACAGAGTATGTTTGAAATATAATGATTCATATCACCGAGGCTGAGACTTGTGTTCTGGACTCAATTGGCTGGGCTAGACAGGGAAGCAGGACCAATCAGGACTCTAGGCTGCTCGCTCGTGTTTTATGCGTCACTGTTTCGATTGATAATAGGCTGCTCTCCAATAGGCGGATCACACGTTATAACATTAATATTTGTCTATCTTTGGATCCTGAGTTTCAAAGATAATTTATATCTTTTATTCTATGAACTCTCATTCTTCTCGAATTATATTCTTTACTTCTAGTGCCTTTTTACTATTCATGAGAGTAGTACTATGTCTACTACTTTAATATTCATCTTCATAATTTTATCTCGTTGCGGTGTAGTAACTTGAACTGATATATATGTGTGCATCAGTTTCTGAGTTGTTTTTTTACCGACTGATTGATTAGATACATAAAACTTTATTGACTGACTGATAAAATGATCTTACTAGAGATCCTTTTACGATTAGATCTTCGTAATCTGTATTCATGATTAATCAGAAGGTAACTAAATTCTCACAAGTTATGTAAACATGATACAAAGAACCCTATTTGTATCTACTAATCATATTGTATCAAAGTTAGTAGTAAAGGTAGTCGCTACACAAAAAATACTGTCTTCAAATAAGATTCCATTATGCACACACAAATATTTCTCATTCCATCCCATAATGAAAACATGGAATCTTCTGGGGTTCATGTATCTTCAAAATAACTTTCTTCATTAACTGACATTAAATAGTAAATCGATGAGGATTAGAGAGTGTTGAATAGTAGTAGTATCTGATTTATGATTATTCAAAACCTTTCAAGAGTTCCAGTCTTGATTTTCAGATCTAACGTCATACATGAAATATTTAGACTACTGAATTGTAATTCAGTAGTTTAACTCTACATCCGATTTGTTTGATATCATAAGTTAGAGAAATATTGAATACGTTGATCCTGGAATTTACTCCCAAATATTTAATAAACCGCTATCAGATTATTATACTTAGACTACTGATCATGTGTCTAAGTATATTAATAAAGGCTTTGAAACCATCATTTATCCATTAAATAGATAACAGTTAAATCCAACACTCAAGTTTCATCCTGTTTGATACTCCTCACTGAATGTCTCTACATTTCAGTGTTGATGTTCATACTGAAATTGATCATTTGGTGTTTTTAACATCAGCGATAGAAAAGCGAACTCCCTTAGTAACTCACTAAATAATTATCAATATTGGTGTTGTGGAGATTATTAAGTTTTAGATTGAGATCATGAACCGATTGATGTTAGACTACTATTGAGAACCTGTGAGCAGTGAGCAGCCGCTTTTTCCCTTTGTTGGAATCCTCATCAGTGCGCCTCCATGATCCTGCACATGGGATTCGAACACAGGACCTTCAGTCGCGAACGCATAACCCACTAGACCACTAAGCCGGCATCTAATGATGTTAATGTCTAACTTCAACCAATCCAAGAAATTGCGCAACCATGTTTCGTTGTAACGAGATAGATACCTATCTCTACTCGACATAGATTACGTCCACTGCTCACAGCTTCTCATTAGAATTCCAAGAATTCCTTCACATAGCTAGTTACTAATGAACATATGGGGTAACTAAATAATACTTCAATGCTAAAAAACGAATAATATGAGATAATATTTTAATTCAATTGTTATGACTTTTATCGTTTATTTTCTTTTATTTAATAAAGATTATTCATGAAATACAATCTACTGATTATTTATTGACAACAGTAGCTATTTCACATTCTGGTCGTATGTTATTTTGTGGTTGTAATAATGGTTTAATTAGATCATATCAAATGCCATTAACAGATCATTCAGAATGGCAAGATTATATTGGTCATTGTGATAATATAACCAAAATGAAAATGGCATCATTTGATGAATATCTAATAACTGTTTCTAATGATTGTTCAATAATAATATGGAGAATACAAGATCGTGAATCACGTTCAACTAAAACAGATAAAGAAAATTTATGGATGGAAGAAATATTAATTACTAAATCAGATTTAGAAGAGAAAGTAAGTGAATATTAGTTACTTCTTTGATTTATCTATTCAATAGATTGTACTTAATGAGTCGATAAAGAAAGTCCTGTTTAGGTTCAGTGATGGTGAGATAGTAGAGAAGATTTGTATCTCACGTGGATGATTTCAATGGAGTTTTATTCTTTGAGGTGGATGGTTTGATCGTGGAGTTTTCATTGTTCTTCTGAATGACTACAATAGTAACAACCCAAGTGGACATAAAATCAACTGCGTACACAGTTTGTTCAAGAGAGCGAGGAAACACTGCAACACACTGACAGCACGAAAAAAGGTAGTGAAATACATAAAGGATGTATTTTAAAAGAATGGTTACCCAATCAAATTCATCAAAAAATATCAACCACACGCAGCATCAGAGCACAAATCAAGCACAAAAATCAACAAACGGATCACCCTACCATACATAAATGGCATATCAGAAACTGCAACGAGACTGCTAAAAATCTTCGAGATAGGTTTGGCACACAAACCGACAAAATCACTACAATCAATTCTATGCAAACCAAAGGATGAAATAAGAAAATAAATTGTGCCAACTGCGACAAACACTACATCAGACAAAGCGGACGCTCCCTTCACCTTCGCCTACATGAACATCAATTAGCAGTCAAACGTCATGTTATTTCCTCACTTATATCAATACACATGAACAACTGCGGACACTCATTCGATTAGAAAAATGTAGAAATCTTGGACAGAGGAAATTCTAAATACACCTGAGAATTTTTAGAAGCCTGGCACTCAGGTCAATCAGCAATCAACAAACACATTGAAACCGATTCAATTTATCAACCAATCAGCAAAATTATGGACAAATATAGGAACAAGAATCAAACCAATGGGAGACACAACCAAAACAAAGAAGTAAACAATGGGATGTTTTAAGGTCAACAAGAACCAATCAACATCGAGGTGTACAAGACAAGCTGTGAAACGCATATGGAAAAATTCGAACTATTCACTTCTATCTGAAGTTTGTGGTGATGATGTCTTTCAGAAGAACGATGAAAGCTCCACGACCAAACCATGCAGCACAGAGAACCAAACTCCATCAAAATCCACTGATAGTCTTAGCATATCCCAGTTACTTATTACAACTTTGAAAGTTGTATCGTGTGAGTTCAGCTTGTGATTGAACGGTAGATATATCATTTTGACCAATACCAGCTAGTGAAATTCCTTGGTCAATGGTATCGTTAACAGTTAAATGAAATTACTAATGATTTGTAATTCAAATGTTTCAGTAATAGGTTGGTATCTATTTGACTTATCTGCAAGATATGAACTTTATTATAATCTACTGGAAAGTTGTTGACAGTTCACTATCTAAACTTTAACGGTGAAATCTCACTTTCAAAACCCAACGAGGAAAGGATATTATAATAGTTGAGTATGTAAGAAAGAATATTCAATCTAATTTGATTATGACAGTAACTTCAAGAATTTTACGTCTAATGATATAGTTCACAATGACTTTATGTCATAGTAGGTAAGCTTATACAATAATTTGGATGACTCTATCGGTCTCCTATATTATACGAGCATTCCAAGTACCTAAATTAATGATTACTCTGGTTGTCAGAAGAGGAATCAGCCTTGTGGTTACTGAAGGAACTTGGCTCTTACCATGAGGCATTATAACTCTGCTAAATGAAGACCTTTTGGATCACAGGACAGAGTTTAAATGGTTTGAATTATTGTTTCTGCTTAGTGTTGTTTTAGCTAGTTGGTTTTCTCCGGAATGGGTTCGCTAACACTATGCCCAACCCTCCTCCATTATCCGGGCTTGGGATTGGCAGTAGCTCTAGAGGGGCTCCAGGCGGAGTTAAGCTTATCCAGTTGCACAGATTTCTGTTGCAATAGATATTGATTCTTCGCCTTTGTATTTCATTAAGATAACTCCTCTCTTATTCACTGATGTGAAGTGTGGCGATTGGACGGATAGACATACATTTGAAGTTTAATACTGACTTTAACTGAGTGACTGATTAGATCATTTTTGCTATAATAATAATTATTATTATTTAAAGAAATACAACACGCAACTCCATGTTGAACATATTCAACCAATACAGTATTGTCCTAAACTTTTTAAACGACTTCTTATAGATATAAAAAATGTTACTATGCGCTAACATACTCTCTAATGTGTTATTTGACGAATTGTTAATAGTTGAATTCATGAGTCAATCTCAGCTAGAGCACAAGTGGAAATTTAGAACACTAGTTAACCGTTTCATCCTAGTACAGCACCTCTCTGCAGTACGCATTTACGATCTCACAAACGGGACTCGAACCTAGAACCTTCAATCTCTTACGTGAATGCTAAACCTCTATACCACTGAGTCAGTATAAAATGGTGTAAGTGCCTAACTTCACTTGATTGATGATCCTTCGCGACCAAAAGGTTTTGGTTTCGTGGATGCTCACTGTTGAGGAGTCTCATACTAGAACAAAATGACTGTCCAGTGTTTCTAAGTTTTCAATAGTGGTATGGCTAAGACTGATCCATGAATCCAGCTGTTAGAACTACTACATTCTTCACAAATCCGCATTTTGATTATAATTAATATTAGTTAATAGAATAAAATATTGAATGAATTTTACTAGGAATTGATGCTTAGACCTCTAGAGTCATGATAAGGTTGCAAAGTGTTTTTCAGCTTCGATCAGATAGCCTTAATATTGTTTGTATGCACTCCAGTGGTTGGGTTCATAAAATGATGTTTGTGAACAATGATACGATACACGTAAAGAGGTGTATTTAGGTATCGGTACTCTCTGATATCACTCGTATATATTGTAATACGTGGGTGTAGACAGTGTTACTAGTGATTTTATCATCCAGTTCTCAACAACTGTCATAATGTGCCTTAGTCTCAATCTGAATCGATCGAAAAAATCCAATTCTAACAGACTTCTTCCTTTAGCATATATTACATCGAAAGACAACATTATCATGGTAGTCTACACACGTTCCACAAATCATTACATGACAATAATCACAAATAAAAAACTTCTTAGCAGTTCTGTTTGTTGTAGTCGCTCAATTATAATATCTTCTCTAAAAATCCTCTATTAACCGTAAACTTATTCTCTAGACCACTATATCGGCATCAAACGGTGTCAGTGTCTAATTTCAATTGATTCACGATCCTTCGCAACCAAAGGTTGTGGGTTCGAGCCCTAGCTGAAAACATCATTGATAATAAAAATGATCATCTCATCAAAACTATCACATTAAAAGTTACATTTTTATATACATAGAATTCAATTAAGATTGAATTAAAAACACGTATAAATGAATTAAATTAGAAAATGATTATCAATTACGTCTAAAAGATATGAATTATAATGAACGTATTAAAGAATATAACACGTTCAGAAGACTGATAGTTAATGGGTTCGAATCTCACGGGGGAAGGCGGGATCGTAGATTCGCACTGCTGAGGAGTCCCATACTAGAACGAAATCGCTATCCAGTGCTTCCAGTTTTTCCATGATAATCTTGCTTCAATTGACTCATCAATTCAACTATTGAAATTATTAATAGTTGAATTCATGACTGGATCTCAGCTTGACTACTAATGGAAACCTAAACGTACTGATTAGCCGTTTCATTCTAGTACAGGACTTCTCTGTAGTATGCATTCATGATCTTGTAAACGGGACTCGAATCCAGAACTTTTAATTTCTCACGTGAACGTTTAATCTGTAGACGATTGTGTTGATATCAAATGGTGTTAGTGTCTAACTTCAATTGATTCATGATTATTCACAACCAGAGGTTGTGGGTTGTAGCCTCCGCTGAAAAGATCATTGATAATAAAAATGATTATGATGCATTCACGATCTCATATACGGGACTCGAACCTAAAATTTCAATCTCTTACGTGAACACTTACTCTCTAGACCAATCTATCAGCATCAAACGGTATAACTGTGTAACTTCAATTGATTCACGATCCTTCGCAACCAAAGATTATGGGTTCGACCCCCCACCCCACGGAAAAGATCATAATCAATCTATCTCTTATATATATATATACATATATGTTTTTCTACTTTATAGAATTCAATTATCATTGAATTAAAAACACGTATAGATGAATTAAAATTAGAAAATGATTATCAATTACGCTTGAAAGATATGAATTATAATGAACGTAATAAAGAGTACATGACGCGCACGAGACTGATAATTCCTGGTTTCGAATCTCAGGGCGGTGGGATGGTAGATGGACATTGCTGAGGAATCCCATACTAGGACGAAAAGACCAGCCAGTGCTTTCAGTTTTTCCATGATGATCTTACTTCAATTGACTCATGATTTCAACTATTGTGATGATGAATAATTGAATTCATGACTTGATATCAGCTAGACCACCATTGGAAACTAGAATCACTAGTTAGCTGATTCATTCTAGTACAGGACTTCTCTGTAGTATGCATTCATGATCTTGTAAACGGGACTCGAACCTAAAATTTCAATCTCTTACGTGAACACTTACTCTCTAGACCAATCTATCAGCATCAAACGGTATAACTGTGTAACTTCAATTGATTCACGATCCTTCGCAACCAAAGATTATGGGTTCGACCCCCCACCCCACGGAAAAGATCATAATCAATCTATCTCTTATATATATATATCATATATGTTTTTCTACTTTATAGAATTCAATTATCATTGAATTAAAAACACGTATAGATGAATTAAAATTAGAAAATGATTATCAATTACGCTTGAAAGATATGAATTATAATGAACGTAATAAAGAGTACATGACGCGCACGAGACTGATAATTCCTGGTTTCGAATCTCAGGGCGGTGGGATGTAGATGGAC